CAGGGGCCAAGCTGGCTTCGGGCCTGACAGGCTGAATTGGTAATCGTGCTGCGCCTCTGAGGTAGCACAGCCAGGAGAATGCTGGCCACATGACCCTGGAGAGGGAGGCGGCTCTAGCTGAGGGCTTCCGTCTCTGGGAGAGAAGGAGACACTCAACACACACAAGGGGAGAAGAAGAGCTTCATGTTAACGATTATGCATATATTACATATAGGTATACAGGAATAACATAGAAAGGGAACCGAGGCCCACATGGAGAGAAGAAATTAGCAGTGTGTCTGCACATGGGCTCCTGCCATGAGATGCTCTATTTCAGGCCTCCATCCCACTTGCTAGCTGACAAGCAGAGCTACTTAAAATACCTGTCCCAAGCCTGTTGGCTTAGCCTGTCTGCAAGGATTGAGATAAATCCCTCCTTTAGTTATGTTACTATGATAAGCAACATGCAGGTTTTAAGCCCATGAGGCCATCTGATCCCCGGTCAGCTCCTGCACACGTGGAGGGAGGGTGGAGAAGGCGCCGATTCCCCACAGACTGCCCATAAAGACTGAACGGGGATGCAGAGGAATCAGCCCATGCGGAATACCCTGGACACTTTTAGTTTATTTTATTTTATAATAATGTGTATTTTCCCAAGTGTGAAAGTTAATATATAGACAACATATGAAAGTTTAAAATGATTAAAAAACAACAACGAAGGAAAAAAGTTACCCTCGATCCCATTACCCAGAGGTACTAGGTTAAACTGAACGCAGCTGCCATTTCTGTAGGGCACAATGGCTGCATATCAGCAATACCATATGGTTCAACCTAACTTACTGGTGTATTTCCTTCCAAATGCTTTGTATTCCTTTAGACATTTGAGGTCATGATGTATATACAAGGTTAGACCCAACTTTTCTTTTTGTAAAACTTGAGAATGTAAGCACAGTCTGCATGACATTAAAAATACTCTCTAAATAGTATTTTTAATAGTTACATAATATTTCATCATTTGGGAATAGCAAGGGCATTTCCACAGCCCCTGGTTGAGCTGTCGCTGCTCCTGCGTCTCATGGCCCAAGGAAAGAAAGCCTTGTTTCTGGCATTCTCTTGGCCGGAGAACAGGCTGGAGTCAGCTTCCAGCAGAGGAGGGGAGGGAGTGCTGGCGACAGGCTGCTGGAAGGCAGCTGGCCCTTGTCTGTCCTCGGGACATGTGCTGAGTGCAGAGGATGGGGGGTGGAAAAGTTTGCCCCTGAGAGGCTGGGCAGAGTGCGGAGAGGGGCTTGCTCGCTCTAGTTACCAAAATAGGACTCCGGAGGAGAGTCAGATTCCAGCAGGAGGCTTCTCTTGCCCAGAAAGGATTATTTTAAGTGCTCAGGTATTTATTGGAACCACTGACACATCTACAGTCTCTGGGTTACCGGGGTGGGTTAGCCCGAACAGCCGGCTGTCTTCTCCGAGTGCATTCTCTGCCTCAGGCTCCCCCGTGGTCAGCTGCAGGGTCAGCCCAAGACTTCTGAGTGAGACAGAGATTGTCACCCTTTACCCTGCTTCGTGTGATGCCTGTGTACCCAGCTGGCTCCCGGTGGAAACAAGAGGATGCCAGGAAGGGAGGGGAGGGAGAAAGAGAGAAAGAGAGAAGAGAGAGGTGGGAAGGGATCCTCTCTGGGGCTACTGCTCACGCCGGCTGTGGGTCAATAGGAAAGTCACATAGCCTCTTTGAGCCTCAGCTTTCTCATATGTAAAATGGGAATACTGCTACTTGTTAAGTAGGTTATCATAGTGAAACTCCTAAAGCAATGCCTGGCACCTTGGAGGTGCGCCATCACTTTGTGTTGGTGTTTTATTACCTCCTTACCCCCCACCCCCGCCCCTTCTTTTAAATTCCCAGAGTGCAGGAAGGGAGTGTCTATTAATGATGTGAATGAAAATATTAGCACTTACTGAGCATTTACTATTCATTCAGTAAGTATTTCTTGGGGGCCTACTATGTGCTAGACACTTTTCTAAGAACTGGAAGACAGAGGTAAAGGAAAGTAAGTTCTATGCCCATGGAGTATACATTCTAGTAGGGAGAGGCAGCCATGAGCAAATAATACAAGCAAACAGACGCTAAATGCACAGTATGTCAAGTACAGACACATGCTATTAAGAGAAGTGGAGCAGGATAAGGAAAGGACGGGGCAGCAAGGGGAGGGGGCAGGGGCTGCTATTGTGCAAGCTGGCGACAGGCTGCTGGAAGGCAGCTGGCCCTTGTCTGTCCTCGGGACATGTGCTGAGTGCAGAGGATGGGGGGTGGAAAAGTTTGCCCCTGAGAGGCTGGGCAGAGTGCGGAGAGGGGCTTGCTCGCTCTAGTTACCAAAATAGGACTCCGGAGGAGAGTCAGATTCCAGCAGGAGGCTTCTCTTGCCCAGAAAGGATTATTTTAAGTGCTCAGGTATTTATTGGAACCACTGACACATCTACAGTCTCTGGGTTACCGGGGTGGGTTAGCCCGAACAGCCGGCTGTCTTCTCCGAGTGCATTCTCTGCCTCAGGCTCCCCCGTGGTCAGCTGCAGGGTCAGCCCAAGACTTCTGAGTGAGACAGAGATTGTCACCCTTTACCCTGCTTCGTGTGATGCCTGTGTACCCAGCTGGCTCCCGGTGGAAACGAGAGGATGCCAGGAAGGGAGGGGAGGGAGAAAGAGAGAAAGAGAGAAGAGAGAGGTGGGAAGGGATCCTCTCTGGGGCTACTGCTCACGCCGGCTGTGGGTCAATAGGAAAGTCACATAGCCTCTTTGAGCCTCAGCTTTCTCATATGTAAAATGGGAATACTGCTACTTGTTAAGTAGGTTATCATAGTGAAACTCCTAAAGCAATGCCTGGCACCTTGGAGGTGCGCCATCACTTTGTGTTGGTGTTTTATTACCTCCTTACCCCCCACCCCCGCCCCTTCTTTTAAATTCCCAGAGTGCAGGAAGGGAGTGTCTATTAATGATGTGAATGAAAATATTAGCACTTACTGAGCATTTACTATTCATTCAGTAAGTATTTCTTGGGGGCCTACTATGTGCTAGACACTTTTCTAAGAACTGGAAGACAGAGGTAAAGGAAAGTAAGTTCTATGCCCATGGAGTATACATTCTAGTAGGGAGAGGCAGCCATGAGCAAATAATACAAGCAAACAGACGCTAAATGCACAGTATGTCAAGTACAGACACATGCTATTAAGAGAAGTGGAGCAGGATAAGGAAAGGACGGGGCAGCAAGGGGAGGGGGCAGGGGCTGCTATTGTGCATGGGGCACCTGTGCCAGCCATTCTTAAACATCCAAATAATTACCATTTAATAAAGCACTTTGGGACATGATGAGGACACTCAAAGCACCAGGAAGGGGACAATTCTCTTATTTTGTGGAAAGGAGGTGGGAACTGGAACATGGGGTGGGAGGTAGAGGCTCAGAGAACCACCCGTGGCCCCCCTTCTGCGTTCTCCACTGTGCCATGCTTTGTGAGCCATGGAGAGGGAAGATGGGTGTTGGCAAGGAGTTTCTGTAACTCAAGGCACAGGCTTGGCATATTACCTCAAGCGCTTTGGGCCTGAGCTGTCGGATTAATCGGTTCAGCAGACACCCCCCATTCTAAGACATCGGCCTCCTTAGCGTATTGCCTTCCCTGGACAGGGCAGAAGTTCAGGAACTGGAAGGCCTCAGAGAAGACCAGCAGAGCTTTCCCCTGGGTCTGTGTTTGCGGACTTAGGGCAAAGCTGAGGCATGGGTTATGTGGAAGTACGGTTGTCCTTACCCAGAAGCACCAGCTGGTCAGGGAGGTTCTTGTCCAAGCCTTGCTTTTGTGAGTGGGTGGATTTGGAATCCTCTGAACAGTGTTTCTTACACTGGGCACAGGTTTGGGGTGATGGTCACTCAGAGAAGACAGATTTTGTGTGTGTTGCCTGGGGGAGCTGGGACAAAGTCACGTTGTCTCTGTGAGGATGTGTGTGTGTCTGTGTGTGTGCATACATGCACACACACAAACTAAAAGAAGAAGGGCCATGTTCTCTGGCCGTGTTCTTTCCCTTGATGCTCTCTGTCCTGCTGTGGGGCGCATGGGTTTGCTTCTGTCTCTTGTCTCCCTCCAGGACAGGGCAGGCCTGGGAAGGTCTAGGTTTTTGGGGACCTCCCCAGTGGGGCTGTTTCTCTTTTGGCTGTCCACTTGGGCCCAGATCTTCATGGGGAAGAGCCTCTGCCCTCAACTCCAAGCTACAGATGACTTCCTCTGCTCTGTTCCCTCCTGGTCTGGGGGCTGCCTACCTACAGAACTCCATTTGGTTGGGAACCTAGGATTCTCTCTTGTGGGTAGAGAATGCCAGATCTGGGAAAGATCAGTGTTGGAAGGCCTTCAGGAGAATCTAAATATTACTAGAATGTTTGCTCTCTGAGGGCAGGATCTTTGTTTTGTCCATTATTATAACTCCAGGACCCAGGGCAGGGTCCAGCACATAGGACACGCTCAATAGATGTTTGTTCAATGATTGAATGACTCTATTCCAACTTCCACTCAATCTACACAGGAGAAAACTGAGTCCAGACAGTGGGGTGACAGAGCTAGGACTAGAGCCTCACATTCCCACATACCTTTTTGCTGTGGCCTCTCCCTGATCTTCAGAAACTCAATTTTCCCCAGGCTGCCAGGATTAGTGGGATGAGATGTAAACTCCCTCGCCTGGATCTGATACATAGTAGATGCCAAATTGATGTGCGTTTCCTTTCTTTTATTCTTTTTGTTCTTGGGACCCTTTTCAAGTTTCTCTTTGAGGCAGTGTCATGTACCCACGTTTTTTCTACCACCTCACAAAGGAATTAAATTAAAAGATGACCAACAGCCTTGTTTTAAGAGGCTAATACTTCCAAGTGTATTCATGAAATCAGTAGGTCCCCAGGGGTAGGATGGCCTGGAGAGAATGTTCTGGGCTTGAAGGATATAGGGGAGAATCCTCTCTAGACCCTGCCTCTGAGTCTCTGCTGCCTCCCTGTCCCACAGTGGCAGATGAAATGCTGCAAATGTGACTCCAGGTTGCCTCACAATTACAACAGTCATCGAGTGGAGAACGTGGCTTCGTCCTCAGGCCCTATGCGCTGGTGGCAGTCACAGAATGGTAAGGGCCTGCTGCCTTTAGGGGTCCAAACTTGCAGAGACTCTCACTGGGTGGGAGTGGGTTTTCCAGGCATTTCTTACAGCGGTGGGATGTGCGTGGCTGACAAGCAGAACCTTCTATCTCTGGATTTGAGGTCTTCCAGATGTTATCGGTAGAAGAATTTATTGGAAGTTAAGGAAAGTGTAAGAATATTGAGGAGTGCCTTTATCTTACTCCACTTAGTCACCATGGGCTTGTTGAAGGAAATGAGCTTTGGGAACAGGTCTGTAGAACAGACAAGCTGAGTCCCTTTAAGGTATTAGGGACATCAGTGGATGGAGGGAAGGAAATTTGGCCAAGGACAGATAAGCAGAAACATACTGGCATCATTCTTCCCAAGAGGGAAATTGGAGAATCAAGTTTAGAGTGTCTGACTTCCCTGAGCTAGTATAGTCCAAGCCTTCCTCCTGGCTGGGAAGGTGGAAATTCTCTGGTCTAAGTTCCTACTTTCTGTCCTTCCAGATGTGAACCCCGTCTCTCTGCAGCTGGACCTGGACAGGAGACTCCAGCTTCAAGACATCATGATGGATTTTAAGGTTTGCTGCCTGGGGATGACAGTGGGTGGGAAAAGGGGACCCTGGGCCATGTGGACTTGGAAGGAAGTACAGTGATCCTGCCTCCCCTGGCTGGGGTGACACTTGCCCTGAGCTTGTATCATGGTGGCAGCAAAGGCCCATTCCTGGGAGAACAGGGGCACCTCCAAGCTCCCTGTCTTGGCCGTGCAGTGGTTATGATGCCTCTCTGCATCCCCCACCCTCCACCCATCCAACTAATTCCACTCTGCCAAGTACCAGTTCTACTGGGCCTGTCACTTACTGTACAGTTGTATATTTTTGGTATATTCTGCCTTAATAACTTTGCTGATGAGTTGCAGGGAGTGACATGATCAGAGAGCCACGTAGAAGATCTCCCCCATGCAGCGGGGTCAGTGGTTTGGAGGGTTAGGACAGAGGCTGCCTGTGAGTCCCAGGTTCAGCATGACCATGGCAGTAAGAGAGAGCAGGGCAGGGATAGAACCAAGAGCCAGTCAGGATAAAAACTGCTTGGCTTTGGGAAGTGCAATGGGAGAAATATCTGTCCTCCTGGGTGGTGGGCTGAGCTCGGGATCCTGCCTGCTGGAATTTCTATTACTTTCCACTCTTCTCCTGGGGCAAACCATCTGGGGCCTGTGGTGTGCCAGAGAGTTGGACCCAGATGCCCCTGAGTACACGTGCTCCCTTTCAGCCCCCTTCTCCCTCCTGGTTCTCAGGGGCCACCAGCGCATGTTCAGGAGCCTGTTTCTGTGACTGTGCCTGCGGAGCCCCCTCCCTGTGTCACCCGGGCCCTGCCCCGTGTCTCCGCAGGGGCCCATGCCAGCTGGAATGCTGATTGAACGCTCCTCGGACTTTGGCAAAACCTGGCAGGTGTACCAGTACCTGGCTGCTGACTGCACCTCCACCTTTCCCTGGGTCCACCAGGGCCAGCCTCAGAGCTGGCAGGACATCCGGTGCCAGTCCCTGCCCCAGAGGCACCTAGATGGGGGGAAGGTAGGTAGTGGGGACCCTGAAAAAGTAGGCACAGGGACACAGTTTTGTTCACACAGTCACCGGGCCTCTGGAGAAGATGTGGGGACACTGTGGTCAGCACCCGTGTCCTCCCTGAACCCTCCAGGAATGACCCCTCTGGCCACCCTCAGAACGTTAGCAGCTCGTCTCTTGCTGTCCACAGGGCATATTCCAAGGCCAAGTGGAGTGCACTGCACAACCCAGTCCCGCTCTCTTCCCCAGCCTCCTCCACACCTGGTTCGCTGGCAGCGCCCCATTGCACGATGGGTGGACATGACTTTGCTCAGTGTGGGGACTTTGGGATGGCTAGTCAGCTGAGAAATTTACATGCATTTAATTCCAAGCTCTGATTTCACCTTGGTGGTTTAATGTTAGTGTGAATTTCCTCAGCTTAATCCATCCACGGAGCCCCACCCTTGCCCTTGGGGAAGTTCAGGTGGACGCCACAGCTCCAGGTCACCTCAACTTAAACCCTGAGCTGGAAGTGAGACCCTGCCTCTAGAGACAGCTCAGAACATCTGTCTGACTCTGAACCCTGCCACCTTGGGCCAATTCCTCCTTGCCTTCCATACATGCTGTACGCTTGGCCAGATGAAGACTATATTTTCTCCTTTCCTGACCCAGGCTCAGCAAACCCTCAGGGTTGCTGTCAGATGTGCCAGCGCTGAGCCCAGCGCCCCGTGTGGCCAACCTGCCCCATCACTGTGGTTACAGCCTGTCCAGGTCCCTACTAACCACGTTCCCCAGCCCGCAGACCTAACACAGGATCTGTGAAGGGTTGACATGAAGACTCTTTATGGGATATGCCAACGAAGCCCCATCTAATGAGTGTTTTTATTAAAGCATAGTTGAAATTGCGGTTGTCTGGAAGGTGGTGGTATGCCCTGGGCCCTCTCATTCAGCATCCCCTGAACCCTCATATATGCACTATATAGCTCACTGTAACTTTTGACCCAAGGAAATCAGGAAGTTCTTGGGATAGCTGTATTTTCAACTGTAACGGAGAGGTTACACACACACACACACACACACACACACGCGCGCGCGCGCGCGCGCTGCACATTCATTAGGGCCCAGTGATCATCTTGTGGCCCAGGGCAGTTCGCAGGTCTTGAACCCAGGGTCCTCTCAGGTTCCAGCCGAGAAGGGCCTCAGAATACGAGGCATGTGGAACATTGGTGGAGAGAAAGACTCCTGAGCCTGGGGCACCTGCTCGCCTCGTCCTCAGTCCTTGCCTCCTCCTGGCTTCGTAGGTCCAGCTTGACCTAATGGACTTAGCGTCTGGGATTCCAGCAACTCGAAGCCAAAAAGTTCAAGGTCAGTGTGGCTACTCCTCTTGCTTCCTCTGAAGGGAGCAAAACAGGGCTGGAACCCAGGACATAGAACTTTCCTGGTCTTTCACATGTCCGTCAACCTGGTTGGATTTCAGACTTGCCTGCTTTCTCCGCAGGTCTATGGTGGTAGTCCCACAGGCTCAGAAGGCCTGAGTCGGAGTGGAGGGGTCCTTCCCATCATGGGAGAGTGGAGGGCTTGGGGGAAGGGCTTTGGGTAGCCTTCTGAAGGCAGGGAGGAAGGGAAGACAAGGTCAGGATTCCTTTCCTTACCCATCTGGGCCCAGCGTATTTGCCCCTAACTTCCTTCCTTTATTACCCCCACTCCTTGTTTGCCCCTCTCAGAACTGGGGACAATCACAAACTTGAGAGTCAACTTCACCAGGCTGGCTCCTGTACCCCAACGAGGCTACCATCCCCCCAGCGCCTACTATGCTGTGTCCCAGCTACGTCTGCAGGGGACCTGCTTCTGCTACGGCCATGCTGACCACTGCGCCCCCAAGCCCGGAGCCCCTGCCGACCCGTCCTCCGTGGTGCAGGTGACAGCCTCGGGTGGGAAGGGCACAGGGGGGAGGGCAATACCAGAGCAGACTGGGACACTCTCTGGGCTCCCGTGAAGCAGGGAGGGCACTGAGTTTAAGACTTGGGTATTTAAAACTTTAGCAACAGTGAGAGAGTCTAAGTGATTATCATTTCAAAGGACAGAATTTTGTAGCACTTCCTTAAACCTGCCTTGTGGTTTGGGATGGTTTTGAGTTTCAGTTACATGTAAGCATATGCGTGGGTCTTGCGGGGAGCTTCGGGCAATGCCTCTCAACTCTGGCTACACATGATAATTTCATGGGGAGCTAAAAAAAGAATTGCTCAGATCACCACCCACAGAGACTCTGCTTTTATTACTGCTTTTTAGAGCTCTCAGGTGATCCTGGGGGCTGAGAGCCACCGGTTTGGGGACTCAAGAATCCCATCTAGTGGTGAGACGGGGCAGGGTGGGGACAGAGTGCAATGCAAGCTCCAGCTACCTGAGACCAGCTGGGTCAGGGAGGGGAGTGAGAAGTTCAGGCTTAACAAGTAACCCAGAGGATTTTGCTTGAGACCAAACTTGAAAACCATCAGCAGAAGAGAGAGAACCTTGGGCCAAGTGGCAGAAAGAGCTGTCATTTCACTTACCTGGGGCTTCAGTTCTCCTGCTAACATACGGCGGGTGTGAGGTTTGCTGTAGCTGTAGAGGGCTGTGAGGATATCAGGAAACATGGCCTGTGAGGGAAGTGCGGGTGAAACAAATGCTGGTCAGCTTGTCTTTTCCTCTGCTGGGCCAGCTCCTGCCCTGGGCTGCAGAGGAGGCAGAGGGAGGTCATTCCAGGCCCGGGCCATCTATTAGGGCCTCCAGACAGAGATGCCCAGCCCAGGCGGAGCCGGCTCGCTGACACGCAATCACAATGTGCTGTGGGACGCCGAGGGAGAGGGCAGGCCCAGCCCAGTCATTCTCAAATCTGACTGCACAAGGGAGTCGCTGCTTTAAAAAGTACCCAAGCCTGGGCTTTGTCCCTGACATTTGTATTGAACTGGGCCTGGGCACTGGTGTATTTTAAAAAGCTCCCCAGGTGACTCTGACGTGCCTCCAGGGTTGACATCCGTGGAATCAGAGGGGCCAGGGAGGCCTGAGGAAGGAGGTGCCCCTCTGGCTGGCAGGATTTTGCTGGAGAGGTGAGAGAGAAGGGAATTCCAGGCAGGAAGAAAAGCATCAGTAATGGCCCAAAAGGTGGGGGAAGTGGGGCCTGTCCAGAGCAGCGGGAAGCTCAGCCTTGCTGTGCTGGTAGGTGGGACGCGGCATGAGAAGCAAGCAGACCTGAGGCAGGACCTGAATACCAGGCCCAGGGTGTTGGGCCTCATTTGGAAGACAGTTAACACACAATAGCTGTTCTATTTTTAGACCTTAATGAGTCTAATAACAGTTCATCAGAGCAGTTCTGTTAGGCAAACAACCGCAGTCATAGATTGTTGGAATTATAAATCTCTGGAGGGGTCGCGCTTCTAGAATCATGGTTTGCCAACAAGGACGTCTGGGTGCCCTCTAGGGGCTGCTTTGCACTGGGCATCACGGGGATGTCCAAGTGCAAGGAATGAGCTTTTCAAAACCTAGCTTGAGCCACAGTGCACACACACACACACACACACACACACACACACACACACACACACACACACAACGGCACACAAGCAGGCCGCTGAAGTGTCCCAGGTGCTGAGCGAAGACTGCAGGGCTGAGGTCTGAGCTGGACCCTGACTGCTGAGCTGGAGGGTCAGAGGGGAAAGGGCAGGTCCATCCCTGGGACACTCTATTGGTAATTATTGCTGATGACTGATGGCCCCCTTTTCTAGGTCCATGATATCTGCGTGTGCCAGCACAACACTGCTGGCCCCAATTGTGAACGCTGTGCCCCCTTCTACAACAATCAGCCCTGGAGACCTGCAGATGACCAGAACCCCCACGAATGCCAAAGTATGAGCCTGGGGTCATCCCTCCCTTGTAGTGACTGGGTGGGGTGCTGTGACCTACCTGGGGCACAGGAAGAATCTATTCTTTATTATTTTAATCTAATCTTAATTGCACCCCTGCAATTTAAGTTCTCCTTGCTCTGCCGGGACAGAGAGAGGGTTTGGGTTTCAATTGTCCTCTGCCTCCCTAACCCTTCTCAGCTGCTCTGGAGGGACCATGGCTTGCTCTATGCTTGTGATGCCACATGGATCTCCTGGTATCCCCAGATCCTCCTTCTACTGGCCTCTCCACTTGCCTTATCCTGTGTAGGGCATGTCTGGTTCCTATTTCAAATGGGCCCCTGGAGTCAGGGCCTTCCTCTGCACAAATGAGGAAAACGAGCATCCCCCGCCCAGAGAGAGGCAGTGACCTAGCAGGAGACCCATGGTGGCAATGGGGGACAGTTGGGACGAACCCCACCGAAAGGGCCGTCTGGCCCAACAGGGACGTTATGCCTGGGTTAGCCCCCACACCGGGAGCCAGGAGGTCTGAGTTCTTACTCCACACTCTTTCTTACTGTCCATACAACCTTAAATAAATCACCCAGCCTCCTCATTTCGCAGACTGGAGCATCTTGCAGAGTCACAGGAGATGCCCCTGAGACTGTGTGGAATATTGTAAGTGGCAGTGGTGCTGGTCTAACACCAGCCCTGGCAATCTCCTTTTTCAGGGTGTGACTGCAACGGGCACTCAGAGACGTGTCACTTTGACCCAGCTGTATTTGCTGCCAGCCAGGGTGCACATGGAGGTGTGTGTGACAACTGCCGGGACCACACTGAGGGCAGGAACTGTGAGCGGTGTCAGCTGCACTACTTCCAGAACCGGCGTCCTGGTGTTCCCGTTCAGGAGACCTGTATCCGTGAGTCAGGGCCCTGGGGACCCAGCGTTTCCTCTGCCCATTACTCCCCATCCACTCTGGGCATGGCAGAGAAATGTCCTTGGGGACATTGGAGCCCTAAGGAAGGCTTGGCTGCGTGTCAGGACTTCGGGACATTTTTAAAACTTGGCTGTGCACTTCTAAGCAAACCCCCAACCTCTCTGGACCATTAATCAATCAGTAAGCCCTTGTGTAGCCCTTATTTTGCACAAAGGAGAGAAAAAAGTAAATACATAATATAGTTTTTGCTGTAAGGAAGCACACACACACTGTTTGGTTACATAAACTGTACATGCATGAGAAAATGGGGGAAGCACCTTATGCATACATATGCCATTGCCTTTACCACGTGATGTGGTTTGCTCTGTATTTTTCTTTCTTCCAACACCGAGCATGCCTCCCTAGCAGGGATTATGTCTTATATCCTCAGGCCCTAGCACAACCACAGGCAAATTGTCAATGCTGCAGGAATGTTTATTGAATGAATATGTGGATGTAACACTCAGGGGTGACCTCACAAGTCCACCAGGGCCAGTGGGTTGTATGGGAGAGAGCAACGTGGACTGAAACAATTAGATTCAGGCTGGGTTTTTAAAAATCAGGTAAGACCTAGATGAAGGAAGAATCTGCATTTAAGCATGAAAAAAATCTGAATGTGGGGGTGGGAGAGGGCTGGTTCATTTCCTGTTGATATGACTTGTTTATGGAAAGGGGGAGAAAGACTTGAGTTTGACTTCAGTTTCTGGCACTTATTTCTGTGTGACCTTGAGTACATGCCTTAACATCTCTGGGCCTCAGTTTCCTCATTGGTACAAGAAGGGTGATGGTCCTCACCTTGCAGGGTTCTCGTGAGGACTGCATAAGGCAACATGGGAGGGTGCTCAGCTGTGCGGTACCTGGCGGTTGTTCAGTAAATAATGACAACAGAAAGTTCTATCGGACTTAACATGTGTTGTTAAGTCCTGTTCCACCTGCTTTACATTTACTCATTTCTTCCTCCGCAGAAGTCTGTGAGGACGGTATAACTATCCCCATTTTACAGATGAGGAAACTGAGACATGGAGGGGTTAAGAACCTTGACTAAAGTTGTCAGGTTATAAGACAGTAAGTGGTGGATTAAGGATTTGAACCAGGAGTCTGGCTTCCACAATCTTCTTATAACTCCCTGCTTGCCTTCTTTATTCCGACTGTGGTGGCCGTTTCTCTCAGCCTGTGAATGTGATCCGGATGGGGCCGTGCCGGGAGCTCCTTGTGACCCAGTGACCGGGCAGTGCATGTGCAAGGAGCATGTGCAGGGGGAGCGCTGTGACCTATGCAAGCCGGGCTTTACAGGGCTCACCCACACCAACCCAAAGGGTTGCCACCGTGAGTAGGGGGACCCAGCATGGCCCTGCTTGGGAATGGCCCTTGGAGCTACCAGGCTCAGGTCTTGCCCTGGTTTCTGGGACACCAGGTGCTGTGCCACTGGATTCCAGCAGGTGGCAGCACCAGCCTGGGCTAGAAGGTGGCGAGCCAGTGGAGGAGGGCGGGTGGCCAAGCTGCCAGGGCAGGCCCTGGTGGGAAGCGCGGTGGTCCTGTGAGTCACAGGTTATCTGGAGGGAACGAAGCTGCCTGATTCCTTTCCCAGGCTGGGCCCCTGCCCTCATGTATGTCCTCTGCGGGTGAGTTTTGATTGTCTGCCGAGAGCTCACTAGCCCTCCCTCCGGCAGGCTGTGACTGCAGCGTCATGGGGTCCCGGCCGGACATGCCATGCGATGAGGAGAGTGGGCGCTGCCTGTGTCTGCCCCACGTGGTGGGCCCCAAATGTGACCAGTGTGCTCCCCACCACTGGAAGCTGGCCAGCGGCCAGGGCTGTGAGCCGTGTGCCTGCGACCCGCACAATGCCCTCAGCCCCCAGTGCAACCAGGTGTGAGGTGGGGGTGTCCCCATGGGCCCCTCAGCGGGGGAGAATCGCGCCCATCAGCCTCTGTCTCCCCTGCATGCTACTCTGGGCCTCCCCAAGGTCAGGCTGGGCTGCTGCTGCCCTCATTCCCCTTTTGGAAGGCTGCCCAGTCTCCCTTCCTCTTTGGCTCGGGGCCTTCTGCAATGCCATACTCACCACACCTTCTGCAGGGTCACTGTGGTCTTTGACTTCAGAGCCTGCCTCTGATGGGAGCCCTTATTTTGGGGACACACCAGCTCGCAGGCAGCTGGTGAATCCTGAGCTCTGTCTGCTGACCAGGGACCTGGGCTACTTCCCCTATACCCAGGCAAGGCTGGGGCTTCTGGGGGGGCTCCCTCACAGTGCTGTCCCCCACAGTTCACAGGGCAGTGCCCCTGCCGGGAAGGGTTTGGTGGCCTGACATGCAGTGCTGCGGCCATCCGCCAGTGTCCAGACAGGACCTATGGAGAAGCAGCCACTGGGTGCCGAGGTGGGTGTCCACTGGGTCAGGGGGTGGGTGCTGAGGCTGTGGGGTGAGCCAGGGTGAGCTCGGGGCAGGGGGCGTATGGCCTGTGGTATGAGAGGGCCTTCTCTATGGCACAGGAGTGCACGCCCTGCACCTGAGGTGGCACATGCTCCCCTTTCTGCCCCTGCTGGTTGGCTGGGCCCACCCCTAAGGCCGGCTGGTTAGGCCACCTGTGTTTGCATGACAGGAGGGCTTCTCCCTACATCCTTGAGAAAGCATTTCCCAAAAGCCACCTCTAGGGCCCAGTAGTGGGGGAAGGATGTTTCTTCCTTCTTCATAGATGGAGAAAGTGAGTCCTCAGGGGGAAAGGTGTACTCTCCCCAGAGTCAGGTTGACAAGTGCTGACAAAAGCCTGGGACGTGGAGCAGGCAGACCCGGGTCTGGTCTCGCTCAGCCTCCACCTCCCTGGTGACAGGGGTGAGCCGCTCCCCTCTTTAGGCCCCAGTTTCTGGAAGGCACGTTGCACTTAAGTTCTCTGTGCCTCAGATCCTCATCTATAAAAATGGGAAAAGAAGGGTGGCTGACTATTACGGTGTGGTTGTGAAGGTCAAATGAGGTCATGTGGGTATGGACGTGGGGCACAGAGCAGCCCGGTGCAGAGTGGGTGCTGAGCAAAGTCTTGCCTTCTCTGCTGTCATTACTGTGATTTTATTCCAGCCTTGACAGTCCATTATTCTAAGTCAGGTAGAAGGAACTGGAGGTCAGGCCTCCTCTTCGGGCTCTCCCACCAGCTGCGCTGTCTCCCTGACCCAGCCCTGACCTTCATTCTCCCCCGCCAGCCTGTGACTGTGACTTCCGGGGAACACAAGGCCCAGGCTGTGACAAGGGCTCGGGTCGCTGCCTCTGCCACCAGGGCTTGACCGGACCTCACTGTGACCAGTGCCAGCGAGGCTTCTGCAACCGCTACCCAGTGTGCATGGCCTGCCACCCTTGCTT